ATATAATTGGCAAGAAAAGAGCCAACCAGGACCACAAAGGTTAGGGGATACTGGCTGGGGGTGGGGTGGGGGGGGGGTCCCGGGCACACAACCTCCTGGGGCAGCTCTCTGTCTTCCCTGCTCTCGCTGAGACAGTCAGGGAGGGGGTGGGTGGAGTCTTCAGCATAAAGAGCAGGATTTCAGTGGCTCTTTGGCCGCCTCCCTGGCCTGTGCGTATTCATCACTTCAGCCCGCCAGACAGCTCAGTCCCAAGTGCTAAGGTGGCCTATCTATATTTGATCCTTTTCCAATGATTTATTTTATATAGTTATATCTTCTAAATGTACAGTAAGTTGCCCACATTTGCTTTTTTTTTGCAGGAGTTCTCCGGTTATAAAAAACACACTCTGTTACTCCAAATTCCCTTTATGATTTATCTTGGTCGTTCCCTGCAGGGGTGGGGACCGTCTGGCCCTGGGGCCGTATAAGGCCTGCGAAATCATTAGGTCTGGCCCTGCCAAGGCATTAGGGGTGAGTTAATTCAATGCCTGACCAAATATATCGGGCAAATTTTTAAGATGATAATTTTGTGTGGCCTGAGAATGATGTTATAATTATCCCAATGGCCCTTGGCAGGAAAAAGGTTCCCCACCCCTTAGCACCTTTCCTTACTGTCTGCTGGCCCTTGGAAGCTGGGAGGGGGAAGGGGAGGCCGTGTCTGAACCCGTGAGGTGATGCCCAGGTGTCAGTGCCCAAGGTCTTTCCTCTCAGCTGTTGAGTTTTCCCTGTGAGAACCCCACCCTCCTGCGTGGCTGCCCTCAGGCACCTGGGTGCTGGGTGGAGGGAGGGGGTCTGCGTCTCCCATCCAGGCAGCAGATTGCACACAACCCCCTTCACAAAGCCACACTCAGTTTCTCCAAGAGGAAACCCCAGCCTGGAGAATCTGTTTTGGATAAAGACTTTCAACCCATTTCCCTGGTTCCGGCCGCACCCATCAGCTGCCTTCAGCCGCACCTGGGCTGCCCAGCCTGTGAGCCTGCAGCTGGCATCCTGGGGGTGTCTCCCTGGCCTTGCCGGACCTTGGGTTCCGCCCTCGCTGCTCTGCCCTGTCCTGCTTCCCACCCCCTAAAGCTTCGCGGGAATCCCTTGGCTGCTCTTGTCTCCTTTCCTGTTCTTTGTCTTTATGGATTTCACCTTAAATACATTTTTTTAAAAATTTCTTTATTCCTGGTTTTTGTGGAGGGAGCCAAAATCAACATTTGTTCAACTCACCACATTTTCAACTTGGAATTCTCTTCAATTTCATTTCCTCTGCTCCCTCGCCCGGGGAGGCTGTGGCCACCTTCCTGGTAACCCTATCAGCGAGGCAGTGGGCGGAGGAGCCTGGCATCATAGGTGGGCCTGAGTTTGACCCTGTGTGCTGTGCCCAGAGACCAGGGTACATGGATGAAAACTGAAAGATCAGACAGAGGCCGTAACCAGGACTACAGGCTTTATTAGGGGATTAGGACTTGCCAGGCTGTCTCGCAAGGAGAGGACAGCAGCACGTGCAGGGGTGAGCATGCCTTTTGAGGGGCGGAAGGGGAAGGGGCGGGGGGCTTAGTGTACTCGGCGCACACTGATTGGTGGCTTACTGCGTTGTCCATATAGGACAAGGGCTTAGGGTATTTGGCAGGTGTGGATTGGTGGTCCAATGTATAGTCCGTATAAGGTACCTGGTTAGTCACTCAGGTATTTCTGGGCTGCAGGTTACATCATACTCCGCCCACCAGTTGGGGGAAAGGAGGATCTATCAAAAACAACGCTGAGCCCTGAGGGCATTAGCATGGACCGAGGATCCTGTGCCAAGCACTGAGCACACACAGGGCGCTGCACTCACCTCCTGTTGTTTCCCGTCTTCTGCTCAGCGCCCTGGCAGCACTGCCCTGACTGGCTGCACTCACCCTGGTGGTCCATCCTGCACCCCTGCCTGGGACCCAGCACTGGGTTCCAGGTGCCGAGTCTGCCTGCTTGCCCTCCAGCTGCTCCTGAGCCTGTTCAGACCTCTGACCCTTCAGACTGGTCCCCGAGTGAATGGATTGCCCTGGCCTCCCCTGAATCACACAGGCACCTCCAACGGCCCCCTGTGTACCCAAACTGCGCCTGTTGGGACATTAGTCGCGATAAGGGTGTCTTTGAGATGTTCCAACTTTCTTTAAGGAAAAAAACCCTCCATGGACCTGGCCCCGCAGCTCCGTACAGAGGCCGGGGCTCCCGGTGCTTTGAGGCCGGTGGCCACCAGCAGGCCTAGCACAGAGCCCGGGAAGCAGGAGGGTACAGGTGCCCGCTGCCAGGGCTCCCTGTGGCACAGAGAGGCGGGAGGAGTGGCAGATGGGAGTGGCAGACGCAGAACTGCTTCATGAAGACTGTGGGCCGGGGAGAGACTGAGGAGCCGAGTCCTGTTGGTTTAGCAGTGGTTCTCAACCTGCTGGCCCTTTAAATACAGTTCCTCATGTTGTGACGCAGCCATAAAATTATTTTCGTTGCTCCTTCATAACTGTAATGTTGCTACTGTTATGAATCGTCATGTAAATATCTGATATGCAGGATGGTCTTAGGCGACGCCTGAAAGGGTTGTTTGACCGCCAAAGGGGTCGCGACCCACAGGTTGAGAACCACTGGTTTAGGGGAAGGTGCAGGGCTCCACCTGGTGGAATGTCTTCCCTTGCTCATCACAAGCAAGAGGGTGCATCAGCCCAGCCCTCCCCGTTGCTTAGCAACAGCCTCTTTCTCTTTCCCAGCAGGTCTCCACGGGCTGTTTGAAGGTGGGGAGGCAAGGGGTGGGATTGAGGTAAGATGACTACCTGATCTGCATAATAATTGGACGTTTGGCCCCATGGTGCTGCAGGTACCTGCCTTGCAAATGAATGAGGAACTTAAGAAAACATTCATTTTCCTCATTAGAGGGTTGTTCCTAAGGCTCTGAGAATTCATGTTTACTTACAAGAGGTGTGGACTGTGTGTGTGTATTTCCAGGCCCCTGGAGGATAAGTGGGTGAATGAAGTGCGAACTCACAACTCACACGCAGAAGTCGGTCTTCTCCCTCCCACCCCCGCACCCCGCCCCCTGAATCCCTTTGGAAATTGGATGGGGAAAGCCCTTTTCCTGAATTGTCCTGTGAGACCCCAGTGCCTCTCCTGCTGACGCCTCTAAGAGCTCCCAGCCACTGGAACAGCCCAGGTGCCAGCCCAGGGCCTCGGAGACACAGACACCAAGCTGGGCAGGAGCTGGTAGAGCCACCACCCGTGATTCAGGGAGGGACGTTGACACATCCTAGCCTCCCCCAAGTTCAAGGAGGGTCCACAGGGCCATGCAGAGTTCTCCAGCCAGAGCCGCTCTCCCGGGCTCTCTCCTCCCCGCCAAGGCCTCCTGGAGCTGGCGCCCTGCTCTGCCGTTTCTGAGAGCAGCAGCCAGGGCCAGACCCCCATGCTCAGGGGGCATTCCCATGGCCCCACACCCCACTAGGGGGGATGCTCACAGCCGGGGAGGGGTGAGCCTGGGGCTGGGAGGCACCCTGAGAAGTGGGGTGGATACCCGGAAATGTAGTAGGTAGTGGGCCACACAGTGGAGCCTGGAAGAGGTACTTTTGGGGACAGGGGAGCGAGGATGGCAACAGTACGCTCACAGGAGACCTTCTGGGAAGGGGAAAGTCATGGTCAGCACAAGATCTGACTCCCTCCTCTTTCCCCGTGGTCCTGCTCTCCCTAGAATAGCTCCCCGACAATCAAACTGCACATGGAAATGCTACTGTTAAGTCGTCTTACTTACAACCACTCGATTCCTTTTTCTTTCTGGGGCAACTGGTTATACTTCTAAGTGTTTGCAAACAAAATTTCCTGTATGGTGATGACCCGAGGGAAAGGGAGAGATAGACGAGGGTAAAGGGGGGATCAATGGTGATGGAAGGAGAATTGACTTGGGGTGTTGAACACACACAATACAACATACAGATGACATAGTATAGAACTGTACTCCTGAAACCTAGATCATTTTATTAACCAACGTCACCCCAATAAATTCAGTGAGAAATAAAATAAAAATAAGGAAAACACTTCTATTCACAATAACATCAAAAATAACAACTTAGGAATAACTAACAAAGTTAGGACAAAATTTGTATCCTGAAAATTAAAAACAAATTCCTTTCCCCATGTGATCATGAACTTGTTTCCTGTGGGAATCATGCCGCATTGATTCTGTGCAATCTGGGGCGTCAGAGCCACTGGCACACACCCCTGAGCCTCGGGGCCACTCTGCACCCCTCCTGCTCTTCCCATCCCGTGGGCTCCTGTAGATGCGATACCCGGTACCGTCTTGTGTGGCCATCAGTGGAGGAGATGGACAGTGAAGGGATGTGTGGCCTGTTCATATCCACCCCCTGTCACTCCAAGAACACAGAAGAGCAACTTCCTAAGGAGACTGTTTTCTGATGCTCTGGTGGTAGCCTGTCGTGGGGTGTATGTGAGATAAGACCTCCTCCCCCTGAGAGAGAGAGAGAGAGAGAGAGAGAGAGAGAGAGAGAGAATACCAGGGCATCGAGGTGGGAAGGAGGAAAGAAAGCTGATATGTGGGGTACGTTGGTTTTCACAAATGTTTACTCAATGTCAAGTGTTTGCCAAGTGCATTACATACATTATCTCACTCCCACCGCAGACCTCTGAGGGTGAGAGGCTAGGGACTCGCCCCCAGGTGACATGGTTGGTGTCGCAGGGCCTGCCTGGCTATCCACTCTGCTTTGCAATACAGTCTCTGCTCCAAAGCCCTCCATTGTGCTGGGATCAGGGGGACAGATGAATGGCCAAGGGACAGGGCAGCCTGACCCATGGCCACAGAATGAGTCACCGAGCAGAAGAAACTTTGGAGGGGCTCCGTGGGGATCCCCAGTGTCCCCACGTGGGAGCCTGTAGCCCCCGTGCACGTGGGCTCAACCTCACACGGTTGACTGAGACACTGTCAGCCTGAGCAAATTCGGCTTCTGGTTCGAGTCAGGGCTCCATAAACAATCCCTCTTAATTAGCCCCCGCAGCCCAACACCTCTGGTGCATCTAGCCCGGTTTACTGCCACGCCTACTCCTGTTGGATCCGGTTCTAAAGTAAACTGTGTTCTTTGAGAGCCGCTGCATACAGATGAGTAGGCAGCCAGTCTGAGCTGACCCACAGACTCATAAAAACCAACGGGGCCTCGGGCACCCACGCCCGGGACACCCAATTTCTTGGATCAAAGGTGCAAGGACCTGCTCTCATCAAGGATCCAGCTGCTTTCTTGGGGACCAAGACATTGAGCTTTTGTCTCCGTATTCACTCAAGCAGCCCATGAGGTAAGGAGGCGAAATGCCTCGATGCCCCTTGGTAGCAAAAAGGAGTTAATGCTGATGGAAATGTAGCCCCTTTTCTACCACCTCAAATCTAAACATTCCCAGGCGGATACAGGTGTGGCTTTCACTCACTCACGGGATGCTCTGGTCCCATGTGGGTTATGAGCTGTGAGCTTCATTTCACAGCCCTGAGCTGAAGGGCCGTAGAAGCCTCATGCCTGGCGCCAGCTCCTCTCTTCTTGGTGGTACACGGGTGTGTAGGTAGAGTGTCTGTCCCTGATGGCATCTCCAGTTGCTGCAAGACCTTGAAAAATAGCGGAACCTCTCTCAGGCCTTTTCCATGGTTCAGGTGGAGGATACAGGTGTCAGTGGGGTCTAGTAGGGAAAAGGCTGAAGACTCACCTCGGTGAAAGGTGTTAGTAAGACATTTCATCCCATCAAAATGCCTTTCCTTCGTTGTATGGAATGCTGCATGATGCCCAGGGCATGCATTTGGATTTCCCAAGATTTGTTCAGCTCCCTGAATCCTGCTGGGTCAAAAGCTCTGTGACAGTGAATGCCACTGTCCTATGCTCCGCTTTGTATGAATGAGCCCAAGAATGAGCAGGCACGGAGCCTCATTCTCCAAACATCTCTGTCTTGTAGATTCTGTGAATAATTGTTCAAAAGAAGCATGTCTATTGCAAATGGCAAGCTTAAGGGGAAAAATGTGTGTTTGTTTCCTTGAGTGGGGCATCCAAAATGGAGCGGGACATAGTGACTGTGGTAAGGAGGCCGTGGTAGGTGAGGATGTACCCTGCCCGGCTGTGGGTGCCCTTCAGACATGAGCGTGGTTTGGGTTGTCTTACGCTACCTTGTTCTGTGAAAATGTGGCTGCACTAAGTTTCCCCAGGAATGATGGATGGGGAAGGGGTATCTGGGAAGGGATGAGTAGCAGCAGATTTTTTTTTTTGGCGGGGAGAGCGTGCAGGGCTGAACTTGCAAAGAAGCACAGTGAGTGGGTCACTAGTGGATGTTCTGGGAGCGTTGGCTGTTGGTGGCACTTGGTGAAAAGTATGTGATGCGCTCTGATTGCCAAGCAAGCTCTGCTCCGCGGAGCTCAGACTCAGGTTTCTCATGCGCGTCCCTGCCTTTGGCTCAGCAATGCGTTTTCTTCGCTAGGTTACTCGGTCACGAATCTTCCCTGGACCTTTCACAGCTCAGGGGTTTCCCAAGGGTTCCACTCTGACTCCAGTGCTTTGCCTTTTTCCCGTCTCCCTGGCTCCCTTCCACCCAGGTTTCCTAACTCCCCAGAGTTCCCACTGGATGGCTTATGTGTCTCAGCGGTTTGATTCTGAGTTTGACCCAAGGCTCACTCCTCCTGGTTCTACCATTTAAGATGCTAATGATGACTACTGTCTTTCTTCTCTTCGTGATTATCCGTCTATTGATGTTATCATGATCCATACAGGGATTTTCCTTCATATTTCCTTTCAACAAACTTATAACGAGCACCCACTGTGTTTTGGGAACTGCGCTAGGTCCCATGCCCTGATAGAAGGGCCCCTGTCCTCTGGCACTTACAGTTTAGGGGGAATGTTCGGGAAACAGGCTCTGACCCTGGCAGGGTAAACACCGTGATGAACAGGGACAGTTACACTGCAGTGTAGCCATGATGTCATCGTTACACTCACAGGAAGGACATCCTACGTTGCCTACAGAAGACCTCATGGAAGTATGATCCTAAAATCTCAGGGTAGGCAGGATGGGGCCTGGTGGGGGCAGGAGGAAGGGCATTCCAGAACAAACAAATGGCATGAGAGAGTGCTACATGTCCAAAGAATACCAAGCTGGTGTGACTGGGGGTGGGTGGCATGGGGGGGGCTGGTGAAGAGAGATGAGACAGGAGAAGGTGTGCGATGCTAAGGAGTTTGGGCCGTGTCTTGATGGTAGTGGGAAACCGCGTAAGGTCATATTTTTAAAAGGTTGCTTTGTCTGCAAAGCACAAGGTAGACCATTGCTGGGGAAGCCAAGCAGGAGATTCTAAGAGGCAGGACACACAGGATCCAGTGGCAGGCTGGCTGCTGGGACCAAGCGCGGCTCTGAAATAAACACCTGCGAGTTGACTGACCTCATTCAGGAAACTTCTCCAAAGTCCAGGTGATGAACAAACTTTGAATGGAAAAGAGCATTTTCTCAGCATTAACCCCGGTCCCCCTCCCCCATATCCACCATGGCCTCTTGGCCACAGGGAGATGAGTTGATGGCCCCCAGATGTTATGGGGAGACAGGGATTGTGTGGGGCAGTGAGCTGGGTTTTCAGCTGCCTCCTCCTCAGAAACAAGCCCACGACCACTTGCTTTTTGCACCTTTGAAACGCATGCATATCTGGGGAGAAGGAGCGTTTTTATTCTTTTTCCTTAA